GAAAGAAAATGAGAATGTCCAGAAAGTGCCCCCTCTTCCCTGAGGATTGAACATTAATGTAGATAAAGGGATCCGGGTCTTGTGGCAAGGATCAGAGTAAGGGTGGTGCCCTCCCGAACAGCGCTGTTATTTCAGCGACTCTCAAGGTGGCCTCCATTAAGATGAAAGGGTGAGGTATGGACACATGGTAGCAAAGAAATAAAGCAGGCTTAAAAACCAGGACCAGGAAAGACTTTGCCTTTGGTTATCTGCACAAAAAACTGACTGGAAGCAATTAGATCAAAAGCCAATGCGGGTTTTAAGGATATTTTGTAGCCGCAGAAACCTTGAGTCTGGCCTGAATACACACCTTATTAGCTCCTTAAAGCAACACTCGGGACATTGCAGTTCCAGCAGCAGAAAAAGAACCGGCGGTGATATACAGCCCCCAAGGAAGGCATATGTTCCAACAGTCACTTCTGATGTGGCTACGCAAGATTAATGGTGAAGGCGGAGAAGCAGGGGTGACCTGACTGGCTGCCCACAGGCTTCCTCCACCGCCAGAGCAGAGAAACTCCATCATTCTTGCTCAGCTGGGAGTCAGAATTCCTGTGAACAGCAGCTGTGTGTTCCACATCTTCTCCTAGCTCAGTGGTCGGCACACTGTGGCTCCAGAGCCAAATGTGGCTCTTTGGCCTCCTCGAGTGTGGCTCTTCCACAAAATACCGTGGCCTGGGCGAGTCTATTTTGAAGAGGTGGCGTTTGAAGAAGTTTAAGTTTAAAAAGTGTGACTCTCAAAAGAAATTCCAATCGTTGTACTATTGATATTTGGCTCGGTTGACTAATGAGTTTGCGGACCACTGAACTAGCTGATAAGAGTTTTTAAAGCAATAGTCCTATTCTGGGCTACTACTGCCTTGGGGACAAGGGGGAGCTTGCTTCATCGTTAGCATGACAATAGCTAAGAAAACTTGATAGAGAAAACACATCTCTCACTACCCTGCCCTGATACCACCCAGCCCTCCCTACATTCAGTCTCCGCTCAAGTGTCACTTCCCCAGGAGTGATCAAATCACCCAATCTAAAATCATATTCCATCATTTTTATCACCTTGTCCTTCCTTTATCTTCTCTTTACACCTTTCCCCTGTCTTCATCATGCCTATCGTTCTGTCCCCCTACTGCTGTGTCAGGCCTTTCAGGCCACAACCCTGTCTTGATCCCAGCTGAATCCTAGAAGTGGCCAATGCATTGCAGGCTCTCAATAAATATTTGTGAGGGGGGGAAAAGACTAAATAATCAAGCTCTTCAATCCCCAAGTGTTTGGAGTTGTGTTTGTTTGGTTTTATGTTGTTGCTTACCTATGTTGTATTGTGACCAGTGATAGAAAATTATTTGTGTGAAAATCAGGATTACAACTTGCAAGGTAGCATTACCTGGTATGAAACCTAACCAAAAAATTGTCCTACTGGAAAAGTACAAATATTTCTAAAAATTAATACTTTTTTTTATTGATATCAGAGAGTAAGGGAGAGAGAGAGAGAGAGAGAGAGAGAGAGAGAGAGAGAGATCAATGGAGAGAGAGAATCATTAATCACTGTCTCCTGCACAACCCCCACTTGGGATGGAGCCCACAATCCGGGCATGTGCCCTGACCTGGAATGGAACTGTGACTTCCTGGTTCATAGGTCAATGCTCAACCACTGAGCCACACCAGCAGGGCAAAAAGCAAGTTGTTTCATTTGGTTCTTTCTTGTTTGTTTTTAAGACAGATAGTGAAATGCCACTGTGGGAACTCCACCTCTTTTTTGGAATGATCACTGGTGGTCATAAGAGCAGAATATTAACCATTTTGAACATGGAATTCAATTAGGGTCTCCTCATTCCATGATTCAACAAAAACTGATATAATTAGCTACAGCTCACTCAGGAAAGAAGTTCACCAGGCAGAATTCAATCCAACCTAATTCAACCTACAGGGTACCGCTCAAAAATGTACACGCACTTAGTTCGGATAGTTTGATGTTTCTTTCTTGTTAGATTTAACGACTAGGAATAATAATTATTCAGAGTGTGTATACATTATTGGGATAGCCTATATTTAGCAGTTGCAGATTTTAAGCCTTGTGCCAAGCACAAGGGATAGAGTGACAACTACGCTTGCCCTCCTATTGGTTGTATTCATGTCTCATGAGAAACTAGACTGGTAGAGAAGCAATTACAACTGTGTATTAAGAGTTACCCCAGCCGAAACCGGTTTGGCTCAGTGGTAGAGTGTCGGTCTGTGGACTGGAGGGTCCCAGGTTCGATTCCGGTCAGAGGCATGTACGTTGGTTGTGGGCACATCTCCGGTGGGGGGTGTGCAGGAGGCAGCTGGTCGGTGTTTCTCTCTCATCGACGTTTCTAGCTCTCTATCTTTCTCCCTTCCTCTCTGTAAAAAATCAATAAAATATATTTAAAAAAAAAAAAAAAAAAGAGTTACCCCAGCCGAAACTGGTTTGGCTCAGTGGATAGAGTGTCAGCTTGCAGGTTCGATTCTGGTCAAGGGCATGTACCTTGGTTGGGGGCACATTCCCAGTGGGGAGTGTGCAAGAGGCAGCTGATCGATGATTCTCTCTCATCGATGTTTCTAACTCTCTATCCCTCTCTCTTCTTCTCTGTGAAAAATCAATAAAATATATTAAAGAAAAAAAAAAAAGAATAAAGAGTTACTCCAGAAAATGCATGGGTTTGTAGAAGCACATACCACAGGAAGCTCAACCAAGCAAAGGATCAAAGGGCTTCCCTGGTAAGTGTCAGCTAAGCTTGGACCTGAAGGATAAGTGGAGAGTGTCCAAATGAAGAAGGAAGATGGAGTGTTTTCTAGGCCAAAGAAAAGATAAGGACAAATGAAAGAGACAAGCAGATGGGGCACTGCCCTTTTGTTCCAGAGAGTCATCCTGTTTTCACCCGCCACTGTTTTCCCTCTCCTTCTATCTCCAGTTTTTAGCCAAGAGGTTAGTCCCTTCTCCCTAATCACCCATTCCTCTGGTGGGGCTTATTTGCAAATCCAATCCAGGAACCAATAAACAAAGAAAATGGCTAAGGAGTAGCCACTGGAGCCTGGAACCCAGCCCACAGTGCACTTACAAAAATTTGATTTTTCTGCGGAAAAAAAAAATATTTTGACTCCTACATTTTTGGACCACATTAGAAAGATCTGAAATGGATGACACCAAGCTGTTTGCCTAAAATAATGTCCCAAGCCTGAATTGGCATGGATATTTCCTGAGATTAAAATAGAAACTTGTTTTGCTAACAGAAAACAACTTGGAAATCAAAGAGTCGTTTAAGTTGAAACCATTATTTTTTCCTTTTCTCAGAGAAAATTCCCTGTTTTTATATACAGCAAGAGATCAGGATAGTGAGGTCACTGGGCCACAGAACTTTCCATTAAAAATGTGAAATTGAGAAACCTCAAAAAGAAAGTAAAGATGGGGAGAAAAGTTTGTAATGTAACAAACCCATTTGATAAATGTTTAGGAGTACTTACTATTCCCCAGGCACAGTTCTGTGCACCCAACAAAGAACCTCATCCTTGCAGAGCTTGCATTCTAGCAGAAAGAAAACCTACAAAAATAAGAAATAAACAAATTATGTAGGATCCTGTAGGATTAGTGTGGTATGGGAGGAAAACAAAGTAGAACAGGCAGGGTGCGCGAGGAGGGGGCAAGCTGCAGCTTTAAATAGGCTGGTCAAGGTTGGTCTCCTCAAAGAGGTGACATCTGAGCAAAGATGGGAATGAAGTGAGATTGTGAGCCACGCAGACATCTGTGTCCAGAGAGAAGTAACAGTTGGTCAAGGGCCCTAAGGCAGGGGCATGCCTGGAATGTTCTAGAAAGGCAAGGATTAGGATAAAAGAGATTGGTTGGGTCTGAGAGGTATGGGAGATGTCCGATCACTGCCCTGGGAGTATTTCGGGGTAGGGATGGACTAGATGCTTTGAACGTGCATTTTAGGGTAATCATTGCGTGTTTTCATCTGAGCAGTCCTTTAGTACTCAGAGTGTGTATACATTTGGGGGGATAACCTATAATGCATTTTACTCTGCCACATCGGAGCAGTGATGGATTAAAATGGTTTCTCAATGATCACTCCAGGATCAGGCACCACCAGACTGCCAAGTAGTAAGCGCCTTCCCTCTCTGGCGGCACGTGGCCCTGGAGGGGCCGCCATCGCTATCTTTCTAATGTTCTCGGAGTTGAGCTGGCAGAGGTAGAAAGTACAAGTTTCTTCTTCAAAACCCGACTGGAGAGCCATGCATTTCCTTCGGTGGATTCCAAAATGAAAAAAATATATATATATATATATATATATATATATATATATATATATATATATATATATATGCCTTTGCCAACCATGTGGGAGAAGCAAACCCTAGGAGTTTGCCTTTTGCTAATGTGTCCAAGTCGGGCTGTGGTTTCAACCAAATGCAGACGGTGCTCCGCTCCAGCCCCATTGGCCTCTCTGCTCCCCGACTTCTCCGCCGTCGGGGGAAAGCCAGGGTTCTCCCCTGCGGGCTCTCCCCAGTGGCCGCCACCTGCTCCAGCTGCGGTCCGCGCCCAGGGCGCCCCGCCGTCCGTGTCCCTTCCCTCCCGGGCGCCCTGCCTTCCCGGGCCGGGCCAGGCGCAGCCACCTCCCGGCCTGGCGTCCGCCCCGCTTGGCTGGCCCCCAGGAGACGCTGCCCCCCAGCGCCCCCGCCCGCCCGCCTGCCCGCCCGCGGCTCCCCGCGGCGGGGCCCGGCGCCCTCCCCCCGAGCGCACGCGCGCCCGCCGCGCGGCTCCCCCCGCAGCGCCTCCCCCGCGGGGAGGGAGCGAGGGGCTCCGGGCGCCGCGCGGCAGACCTGCTCGGGCTGCGGGCCGCGCCGCTCTCCTCCGCGGGCAGCAGCAGCTCGGCGGCGGCCGCAGCGCCTGGGGCGGCGAGGAGGCGAGCGCCCACCGTTCTCGGCACCGACCACCCCGCCCGGTTCCCGCGGCCGACATGGATCTCCTCCTGGCGCTGGTGCTCGGGGCCGCTCTCTACCTGCCGGCGGCCGCCGACTTCGACGGGAGGTGAGTGAGCCCCAGGCGACCTCCCCTGCGCCTCCTCTCCCCGCGCATCCCCTCCGGCCCCGCGCTGCCCTCTCCCGGCGCGGGGGCGCGGTCCTGGAGGCGTCTGTCTGCCCAGAAGCGGGGCCACCGAGTCCCCTCGGCTGGAAGAGAACCGTCGAGCCGCTCTCTCCACCCGGAGGAGGCACCCAGCCGCGGCTCCAGGCTCGGGGAGCCGGGCTAGGGATGAAGGCAGAGGCTGGAGCCCGACATCCTGCTTCCGAGGGCGCCCCCCCCCCCCCCGCCGCTCAGAGGAGGGGACGCGCGGGCCGTCCCCAGGTCGGGAGTCTCTGGCTCTCGCTTCAGAAGGCTCGGCAGTGGGGAAACTTCCCCGTGGCCGGGGCCAAATCCGCGCTTGGAGCTGTCGGTGCCGCTCCCATCAAGGGTGGGTGGCGGCAAGGGAGCCCCTGCGTTTCCAGGGGGGACCTGTTTGCCTTCCCGCTTGGTTTTCTGGGGCTCACAGTCAGGACCGAGGCGGGGGGCGCGCCGCGCGCACACCCCGCCGCGGAGACCTGGGGCGCCTGGCTCGGCGTGCTCTGACAGGTCCCGCAGCCCGGCCGCTCCGCTGTCACTCAGCCTCCCCGGAGCGGCTCCCCTCCCCGGGCTCCCCTCCCCGGGATCCCCTCCCTGGGCTCCCCTCCCCGGGGCTCCTCTCCCGGCTCCCCTCCCCGGGCTCCCCTCCCCGGGCTCCCCTCCCCGGGATTCCCCTCCCCGGGGCTCCTCTCCCGGCTCCCTTCCCCGGCTCCCGGCCCCTCGGGGTGCGCTGCGCGCCCGTGTCGGGAGGGCGTGCAAGGTTACCTACCTCGGTGAAGTGTGTGTGTGTGTGTGTGTGTGTGTGTGTGTGTGTGTGTACGTACGGTTACCCCACATCGGTGAAGTGTGTATGTGTGTGTGTGTGTCTGCCTGTCTTGGAGGGCGTGCACGGTTACCGTGTGTGTGTGTGTGTGTGTGTGTGTGTGTGTGTGTGTGTCTTGGAGGGAGTGCACGGTTACCCCGTGTGTGTGTGAGTGTGTGTGTGTGTGTGTGTGTGTCTGTCTGTCTGTCTTGGAGGGCGTGCACGGTTACCGTGTGTGTGTGTGTGTGTGTGTGTGTGTGTGTGTGTGTGTGTCGGGAGGGCGTGCACGGTTACCCACCTCCGTGCAGATACACACCAGACTCGCCCCAGCGCAGGCCGCTGCTCCCCCCGCAGAGCGCCTCACCCGGGCCACACTGCCTTCCAGCGGCTCTCTGTGGGCGACCCCCACCCGCCAGTCACCTCCCCGGGCTGCCCCGAGACTGCCGCACCTGTTTTGCTTGCAATCTTGGAACCAATCAATTCTACGATTGATTGGCTTTCTTGTACCTGGAGGGGAACGGAAGGGAACAAGTGGAGCGCAGCCGCTTGTTTACCACCACCTGGTCGGTGGAAAGAGAAAGTTGGGGTTATTTTGTATAATGTGCTGTGAGAGGGTGGGGGGGGGGGGGGAGGGAATTGTGCAGGGGGATAAAGAAAAATAAAACAAAAACAAACAAACAAACGAACAAAAAACACTGTTAGGAGCCAGAGTATTTTATTGATTTAAAAACAGTTCTTTGCCCGCATTCGGGTAGGTTGTGCATTTCTTGCAGACACATTTGTAACAAGAAGTGCATCACACGAGTAAGTTTAAGATGGTGATGTAGTTTTTAAAGATGTCTAAAACAGCCAATGAAAATATTGATCCTCCTGGGGGTGCGGGGGCGGGGGGGGGGGTACGGGTGTGGGTGCGGGGAGTCATTGTTTCCAAACAAGGAAACAGTTCGCCAAAGAAGGTGCCAAAGTGGAATCTGGTGGATCAATCAGTACTGAAATGGAGTGCTTGCTTTAGTCCTCGCCTTGGAGAGGAAGATGATGATAACGTGAGTTGTGGATGCGGGAAAGTTTCCCATCACAAGAACAGTTGAGATGTTAGCTGCCCTTTCAGCTCCCTTGGTTTTAGTTAGGCTTCTTTTTGTAGTACATTTTTTTCTTTCTGGGAACGTTTTCTGCCAAAGAGTCCTATCTTGCAAAGAGTTTGTTGGGTTTTGTGGAAGCTTCCTCCCCTCTCTCTGCCCCTTCCCACACCTCCCTTTTATATAAGGCAGAAATTGTTTTCTTTCCACTCTGACATGTCTTAATACTTTTCAGTGTATGATGAATCCGTCAAAACCGTGCCCCCCCCCCCCCCCATAGGTGTGGGTCTGTGAGGGATCTGCTTTATTTCAAGCTTCAGAAACCACCCTGAGAGTGGCAGCCTTGAGAAACCTTGGGTTTTTGTTTTGTTTTTAGCTGGTGCTATCGTGTTTTCCCGAAAATAAGACATCCTCTGAAAATAAGACCTAGCGCAACTTTGGGAAAAAAATTAACATAAGACTCTGTCTTATTTTTGGGGAAACAGGGTATTTCCATTTAAGAAAGGATCTTCCCCTCCTTCTTCCCCTTCTCTCGTGAGTTGTGTGTCTGTTGAACTGTCTGAAATTCGAAATTACTTCATGGCAGAACTATTCCCCTGAGGTGTTTTATTCCTTAAATCCTGCAAGAATGAAGGAGTTTCGTGTGTTGTGTGATTTAATGATTTTCTAACATAATGACGAGGAAATTACTTTTAATTTCAAACGTGTCTTTATTTATCTTGAATCTTTCTGTTCGATAGGTGGCCCAGGCAAATAGTGTCGTCCATTGGCCTGTGTCGGTATGGTGGGAGGATTGACTGCTGCTGGGGCTGGGCCCGCCAGTCCTGGGGACACTGCCAGCGTGAGTATCATCTCCCGGGGACTTCAGCTCCCTGGAAGGGGGGCTCTCCACCCCCATTCCATGCTTCACTGCACACCAGAGGGCTCCTTACAAGCAGCACTTGCTGGTAGGGTTCTGACATGGGAGGGTTCAGTGACTGTCCCAGGCTCTGCCGCTTTCCCCCCTGAGCTGTAAGGAGCCGGTTTGGTTCCTCACAGGATGCTCCCTTAGGCATTGGTCTCCAATCTCTCCTGCTTCACTCTTTCCTTTGCTGCAGGCTCTGAGATGGGGGTAAGATAATGAGTCTAGACTGTATTTATACTAAATAAACTTAAGGTATAAAATCCTTACCATAGCTGTTGTGGAAAGAGGCCTCTTTTTTTTTTTTTTTTTTTTTTTTTTTTTTTGAAGTGAGGTTGTATTGACTGTTGACTGTGTTCTAAATGGACCACCCAGTAGAATCAAACAATACCTCTGAAAGAGGCATCATTTTTTAAGTTCTTTAATCATGTAATAAGTGTCAAGTCAAAACATGAATTTTTACCTTTTCCTTGATCGCAAATGAATATATTTTTTAAAAAATATTTTTATTGATTTCAGAGAGGAAAGGAAAGGGAGAGACAGATAGGAACATCACTGATCAGCTGCCTCCTGCACACCCCCTACTGGGGATTGAGCCCACAGCCCAGGCATGTGCTCTTGTCTGAATCAAACCCAATACCTTCAGTCCACAGGCTGACACTCTATCCACTGAGCCAAACTGGTTAGGTCATAACTGGATATTTTTATGGTAAAAATCAAAGCTACATCACGAAAGTTGGAGAAATTTGTTCCCAGTATTTTATCTGGATTTCAAAATTATATTTCACTCCCCTCAGAAAAAACAAACAAACAAACAAAAAACAACCAAACACCAAAAACCAACCACCCCCCCAAAAAAAAACAACACCCACAAATAATTAAGTAAATTTCAGGGACACCTTTAGAGTACGAGGTGGGCAGGTCTGTTGAGATGATGGTGACAAAAGTGGGTTCTATATATCCCAGTGTTTTACTGCTAATAAGCAAAGGCCCTAGAGGAATAGAGAAGGGTAGTTAACAAAAGCTGGAGCTGGAAGGGGAGGAGCCTGCCTCAGGAACATGTTGGTAGTGTGAGGAGTAAATTTAAGTTCACTTTAAGCAAATTAAATTTAAGGAAATTAGAGTTAGGTGTTCCCTTGGAAGTTTCAGCCTTTGAGAATTATATGTGATGTCTATCCTGAACTCTCTGAAGGAGGGAGAGGGACAGTCACAGGATGACTCTCTAATTGCACGCACAGGCTGACATCTCTGTTTAGGGGCGGAAAGGTAAACGGGATTAATGTTTGTCTACCTGCTTTCTGCAAGCCACTGGGTCAGACTTTTTGCACAGCTGGGCCATTACATTCTATTATAAAGGGAGATGCTGGTAACTCAGTTTCCAGTAAATAAAAGAACTAGGCAAAGCTGTCCTGTGTCCTCCCTTCCCACACCGTCCCCCTCCTCCCCCCACCACCACACACATAGCTTATTCTACTCAACATTGTTTTTTAAGGGAAGATGGTCATAAAGAAGAATGGTAGCTGGTGGAATATAGTCTTCTGCCAGTTTTACCTCCTTTAGAAGTATTTGCACAGCTGGAGGCCACAGGTGTGGAATTTGAAGAGCAATCAGGCTTTGAAAGTCAAAAGGGGAAGAGTGTACCTTTTTCCACAGGCATCTTTCCCAAATGAAAAATGAGTGGTTTCTTCGCAGGAATGGAGATAGTTTCCTCCTCTTTTGCTGCCTTCATTTGCAGGACGCTCCCACAGGAAATGCTGAAGTGGTTTGGGGAGTGCACAGCACCCCCCCAGCCCCGCCTAGGACAAAGCTGCCCTGGCAGAAGGCCCTGAGCACAGTGAAGTGACCTTCTCTGAAGGCAGAGTGCCAAGCAATGGGCAGAGGCAGAGGAGGGCAGAGCACTCTGCCAGATGTGATAAGAGAATTCCAAGGAGAAAACTCTTCTATCTCTTAGAGGTATTCCCCAGAAAGAACCCGAAGGAGTGGTGCTAAGTCTCTGCCACGTAGTTAAATTTTCCCTAGTCTGAGCCAGCTTGGTGATTCTGAAGTTGTATGCGCGTAAAGGAAAGTTCAGTGACATTACAACATAGAAACCTGCTAAGAGTTGCTTTTTGCACAGTAGCTTCCCCAGCAAACACAGGGTGCTATTTTATTATTTTCTATGCCTTCATTTTGTTTCCAAAAGATTGAAAGTGGTCAAATATTGCATTTGATAGTATTTACCTCTTCCTTCTTGCTATTCCTCAAGAATCTGAGAAAGCTGTAACACGGCATGAGCTTAAATATTGAAATGATAATGTTATAAAATCTGTAAGATGATCCTGAACAAATCACAGTTCCTCTTAACTTAGATTTGGTGAACGTTCAAGAGGCAGAATAAGGAAGGGGAACATGGACTCTGGAGCATGACTGCCTGGGTTCCAATCACCCCTGCCTCTCATGAGCTGTGTGACCATGAGCAAGTCATTCAATCTCTCTGTGCTTTATTCTCCCCATCTCTGGGATGGATGGAAATAGTATAGTACCTCATAGGTATTCCTCTTAGATATAACCAGAACTGAGAGCGTAAAAAAGTTATGATTTGTAAAGCACTTGCCACTGCTGCTAGCACCGAGGAAGTACTATGGAAGTGTTTGGTGAACGTAAAGAAATGTAAAGGAACATTGCCATTGAAACGGTACTGTGGGATGGGACGTTCAGGCTAGCTAATTCTTTGTTCTCGAGGCGTGATGTATGAATGTTGCATTTTTACTGCCAAAATAAAAAATGGTTCCAAGGTTCTCTGTCGCAATAAAATAAAAATGCCTTTAAATTACAAAGGGCCAGATGGGTCTTTATTATTAACATTGGAGATGGCAACGTGGTAAAACTGAGTTCCAAGATGGGTATCCCCTGTGTGTCTGTGTTTGATTTTTCCAGAATCTCAAGTGGACCAAATGACTCTTGTCGGCTCAGAGAACCCGCTGTCTTTGTTTTGCTATAAACAGGAAGAAGAATGCAGGGGTGAGGGGTCAGCTCAAAGTGGGAAGAACGGCCCCCAAAGAGGCTTGTTAGAGACACATGGAAAACTCTTGATTAGTTTTTACAGCAAGCTTTTGTGAAATTTAAACCTTTGTCACTATATTTATTCAAGGAAAATGCCTTGCTAGTCTTTAGCAGTTACATCTGGTAATGGATTACCTATAAAAATTCCAAAAAGCTTCTGGGAAATTAGCATGAAACATGTTTTTGCCTTTCTGACCCTTAGATAATCTCAGCATTTTTTTCTCATAGGAGCCCTTCCTTATCAAAGGTGCCCTGGTTCTCGATTTTTTTTTTTTTCCTGAATAATTCACTTGGGATTTTCCTTCAGATCCGCACAGCAACACAAAGAGAAGCTATCCTCACCTATATCCAGAACCCCTCCCCCCATTTATCCTTGAGAAGCTGTGTCTGTACGCTGAGGATGCCGTTCCCTCATACTGAATGTTTATCAGATCCCATGCCCTAGTACGAGGGACCCTGTGGTCCTTGTTTACTTCTCTTGGTTGAGCAATGTGAGATGTTTTGTTTGACTCAGTATTCCAGGGGCCAAATATGTGTATTTCCACAAAACATGATGCATTTCATTTCCGCTGACTACCCCCTTGTCATGGACTTGTACGGAGAGGCCAAGGGCACTGCGGGCACTAACCTTGCCCAGCCTCCGCTCTTGGCTCACTGTGTTTAGCCACAAAGCCACAATTAGCCAGATCCCATCCTTCCCTCTGGGACTGAGGAAGGAAGGATCAGAGTTGCTTCCCAGACAGACATAGGAGCTGTCCTCCTGCTTCCTGCCCATGCCACCAGCACTCCATCCCGACATTCCCGCCAGCTGGGAAAGCTCGACCTCTTCCAGAAATAGGCAGGTTCTGTTTTCGTAGTTCCTCTGGTGGAGGCCATACTCTTGCATTCTTTCTGCCCTTTGATTCTTTATATTCTTCACTCATAAGCAAATCTCTACATAGTGAGAATTTAAATTTTTTTTTCTATTTGCCCTGGGCTTTATTGAATATTGATGTAGCTGTTTAGTGTACAGTGAAATTTTCCGAATATGCTCATAACACTAACACACTGATGGCTACATATTTACAGTACACGGCCCCTAATCACTCACAAAACATTTGTTTCTTGCTCTATAATTATTCTTGGAGGAAGAGTTCCTTCACTTTTCCATCATACTAATGACACAATTCATTTGAATTATTTTAACAATTTCTTTACTCCTACCAAAGGGAGATCTCTGTAATGAAGATTTCTCAGGTTTTGCATATTTTATATTATTTTAAATCTTTATTGTTGAAAGTATTACATATGCCTCCTTGCCTCCCCTCCATTGACCTTTTCTAACTATATTTTATTTTTCAAAGCTGTGTGTATGCCTTGGAAGCAATTCTTAAATAAAAGCACTAGACAAATGGGGGCAACTGAGTCCAGTCCTGGATTTTATACCTGACTAGAGGCTGATGCACGAAATTTGTGTAAGGGGCTTGGCCCTCGCAGCCCCAGCTTTGTCTGGAAGGTGGTTTGGAAGTTCCTTCACCTGTCCAATCTAATCAGCATATTATGCTTTTATTATTATATATTACCTATTTACATTTCTCAGCTGCAGTTTTCTTATTCTTCGAGCAGATTTCTATGATTCCATAATGTAGGCTCTGTTTCTAATCTATATGGCTGTCTGTTTACTTGTAGATTTGGCTGTATATGTGGCTTTGACAATAGCGGTTCTGTTGAAAGTGCTTTACAGAGGAGTGAAGAAAAACTCAAAATACAACTAGTTCCATGCTTCAATAAAGCTATTCAGTTTTTGAGTTCTTTGGCTGTCAGTGAGCAATTTGTGGTTTCTGAAAGAAATTATGTGAATTGCAGTGGTTTTGCATCATTATTAACACCAGACAAAATGCAGATGTTTTATGTTTCTC